AACCATGTGTGCCAATATTCACCCGTAAGACCCATAAATTTTATGATTTTAGAGATTAATTATGTTACCCATTAGTAATATAGTGTTATTATAAATTAGGTTCGAAAACTGTAGCAGAGCGTGGTGAGACCAGCAATCAGTAGATCTACTACTTGAACCTATTATCGAGGTGTGTTCCCTATTTATTATTGAACTGTTTTATTTGTTTTAATATGTGGTATACTGAATTCTTTGGTTACTGTTTTATTGATGCACCGATTTAATGTGATGGTTTATGGATTATGACCGCTATTTGATTTTGTTTTGAAATGGTATATGATTACCATGTTTATGGATTTATGGAATTTATGTAACGGTGCAATTGAATTTTTGGAATACGAATTTATAAAGTACAGCCCTGATCAAGCTAGAAACTTTTACGGACCTAATGTGACTCTTAGGTAGGCTCTGCGGCCCTGAGATCATTCTCGGGTAGGCACTGCGGCTCTAAGATATGTTCTTAGGTAGGCCCCACAACCCCGAAATCTATCTTGGGTAGGCTCTCAGGCTCTAAGATGTTCCTTTAGAGTAACTCTTTTATGGGATTTACTACAGTATAATTTTATGAGATTTACTGGACTAAGATTTGTTTAGTGTACCTATCATGATTTTATAGTAATGTTGGGACACACTGAGCCTAGCTCACTTTTCGAAAATGTTTTCCCCTTTCAGATACTGTTGATTAGATTCACCTGATTGAGCGCTTAGAGGATCAACATATCTCTTGAAGTATATCGTATTGTAATGTTTTATCTTTTAAGTTTACTCTATTTTGGTAACATGTGCCTTATTTTAAAGTATTGGATTTTATAAAGATTACTTCTTTTCTACTTACATTTGGTTTATCGAAAATTTGGATTTTTAAGACATGTTTAAATTAATTTGTTTTTTTTCATTATATTTATGAGTTGTATTTTTATAATATAAATTATTATAATTTCATAAACGACATTTATAATGTGATTTTACCATGATTGAATAATGGTTTCGGAATAATATCTTTAAGAATCATGAATGTGATTCACTAGACTTAGTCGAAACGCATAGATCGGGTCTAGGGGGTTACACGTATCATCCCTCCTACAGTAGCCAGACCTGTATTTGTTTTATAAACACCATTTGTGTTTAAAATCCAACCTCCCTCAGGTGGTTTTTCCCATTGTACCCAACATGGATCCTTGTTCATCCTTCTTTGTGGGGCTATCAAAGCCTTCTCTATATCTCTGGCAAACTTTTGTGCATATTGTATCACTTTATACGGATCGGCTCTCACGTCTTTAAACAATCTTGATTTAACATGTAAAATTTAATGATCCATGTTAAATTTTCACCATTCTAAAATATGGAAATAATATCTTTAACCTTCTTCTATCATCCATCAAAATTTCCTAAAATTCTGGTTCGATCTGATTATCTGAATATTTTACAAAACTTTATCGTTTTATAGCCTTTAATACAAGCTCCGGATCAAAAATTTGAAATCCACAAAACGTTATTCTTGGGGCAAACATTTACGGGGCCAAAATATATAACTTTTTTAAAAATTACACTTTGATCCCTGAACTTTTACAAATTTATACTTTGGCCATTAAAATTCTGGTTCGATCTGAAACTGTTATTACACAAATGTGATATTTGCAATGACCACAATAACATTTCCTATTACCATAATCGTCGGTTTTGATTAATCAGATATGGTTTTAATGTTATGCTAGATTTTGAGCACTGGGAAGTACAAGAGTGTTCTCCATCGGGCCGTGGTTAATAACAGAGATGTAAGGCTATCCATAGCAATGCCACACGGACCGGCACTGGATGCAGTTGTTGAGCCAGCTTCGAAGTTGGTCGAAGATGAGAAACCCACCGGAATACCGAGCGATGAAATATAAGGAGTATTTAGAGCTTCAACAAGGTAGCATGCTCAACGGAAAATCTTGCTTGGAAATTGTACGAAACAAAGTAATTTAGGGACCTTTTGATGTCACTGGAGCTCGGTGCGTTGATATTTTTTAATCGAAAATGCCCCAATTTAACGCACCATCGTTGAGGGAGTTTAGAAAACCTCCTGTGAATGCATTGGACCACCGATAATGGATACAATTTCTATTCTATTATTATTATTATTATTATTATTATTATTATTATTATTATTATTATTATTATTATTATTATTATTATTATTATTATTATTATTATGGGTAAACTACACGTTTAATAACTCAATTAACGGTTTTGCTATGTTTCGGTTACCAAATTATTTTTTCTAAATCGTACATAATGTTTATTTTTGGTTTTGTTTTGGTCACCAGTCGTTAAAAAATTAATGATGATACCTCCATGTCACCATAAGATAATGTTATTTCATCATTGAAAAAAATATCATGTCAATAATTATATTAAAATTTTAATGGTGTGTGACCAAAATGGAATAAAATGTAACAAAAATAATGTTATTTTATCATTGAAAAAAATATCACGTCAGTAGTTCTATGGACACCCTTGTATGCATGAGTAATTGCATTGATATTGATTGATGGATATCCATAATAATTGGCTTGACTATTGTGTGATATCGAACCAATTATATGTTTGAGTGGGAATTATATCGATGCTTATGTGATATCGGGTTCGCCTCAATAATTTTTACTAATGGCTATGTGAGATTGAGAGATCATTTGTTTGATTGGTGAGAATTTTACCAAGGCTATGTGATGAACGGGTTCCCCATATGTGATTGTACTTGACGACTATGTGATACTTGTATTATCATTGTGTTGTGTGATGATTGTGTATTACATATGATGTCGCATAGTTGTTTGATACTGTAGTTAGGGACCTAGTATATATATACTCATGGCGATACCCTTAGCAAAAGACTAAGGGAAGCATGAGACTCGAACTATAGTGATAGAATTATTGAACCTTAAGTAGGTAGCACTTGATTATGATCATACATGTACCTACTACTTATTACCATATCTTCTAGCGTCCTTATGTTTATGAAATTCATAATGCTGCTCTAGATTGACGATCATACTGCTGAGCTTTATAAGCTCAACGTTCGAATGTTTCCATTAACAAGTTAGTAGCTTGAGTCGTTTGAGAAGCACTATCATAGCATGACTTTGAGTATCCCTTCCATAGTATTGTATAATTACTTTAGTGGGCATGTGTGTTCATAGGACCCTTATTATTGTATTTGGATTTGAAACTTTAAGTCTATATCGTTTTGATTTAAACTATGTGTCATAGAGTTCCGATTCGTTAAAGTTTTCTTAATAATAATTATGGATGTCTGTTTTGGTAAATATATCGTGTTTTAAATGGAACTGAAAAAGAATTTAAAATTTAGGGTATGTTTGTTTCCCTGTAATTGGTTTTTCAGATAATGTTTTCCTTATTTTTCAATGTTTGGTTGGCAGAAAACATATGGTCAACGTAATCCATTTTCTGATTAATTGAATTTCCTTTACATTTTTGGAAAATAACTTACCATCTGATTTTTCGTAAGTCATTTTACGAATTTTTCACTTCAAAACATAAATAATAAAAATATTATTATTTCATATATTTAATATTAATATATTATTTTAGTATCATTTTAATAAAAATATTAATTATTAAATTATATTTTTTTGATAATTTTAATAATATAATATTATATTTTATTGTTCTAATTATATTATTATAATATATAATGTTATACTTTTATTTCAATAATATATAATAAATTATTAATAAAATTAATATTATTTATTAATTTCATAAAAATAATATTATTGAATTGTTGAATATTTAATATATAATCCTTAAAATATATTATAATATTATTATTTTAATATTATAATTTTTAATATTTTAACAATATTATTTTAATAAAAATTAATTTAATTAATAATATATTATTCTTATTTTAATAATTAATTAATATAATTTATAATAATTTTATTTTAATAATCTTAATATTTTTATTTATAAAAATATAGATATAATATTTTAATAATATTGATATAAATAATATTAAATAAATTATTCTAATATTTTTAAAATAATATTATTTATAATATTTAATATTTATAATAAAAAAAATTAAAAAAATTATCAACCAGTGGAAAATCAATTACACAACATCATCTAAACATCGTAAAATGATTTCCAAAAAATGTTTTTCGGGAAATATAATTTATTTTCCGGAATCTGTTTTACGTGAAATAAACGACCCTTAGTGGTTGTCATGGTTGTCCAATATAACATTTTAGGCCCATTCAGACTTAATACGTTACATTTTGAGTGTTTAAATTATATGGGTCTTTAAGGATGAAGATGAGTGGGGAAAAAGGATTAGAAAAAGAAGGTAAGAGAAAAGATGAAGAGAATGAGTTCCTTCTAAATTTTTGTCTCAGAACACTTTAGCCCCTTTTGTTTTCCTAATAGCACATTTTTATTCATTCCTTTTTAATTATAGGTTCAGATATTCCCTTTTAATGGCCATTTGGGTCCATTCTTAATTTGATTAAACTCAAATTTTGTTCAACGAATCTAATCATGTTACTAATTGATCTTATAACTTTAATTAATACTCGAATGTTGATTCAAAAGCTTGAGTCATTACAGGTGAATCAAAGGAAATTTGAAAATCTGAACTAGAGAAATATTTTAGAGGATTTTGCATAAATTTACCAAAAAAATTAAACAACATTAACATTCAAGTGACCTAATCGAGACAAATTCAAAAAAAAAACTAGTGATTAAAGTTTAAAATTCTTTACAATGTTATGACCAAAATAAAAAAATAAAAATTGGGAGACTAAATATGTAAATTCATTATATCTTATTAATTACTATATCGATGTTTTGTTGGATAATCATAAAATAATATAGTCCCACGCAGATTTTACACGGAACCAACAATCATATCATATTATAACGACACATTATTTTGGCAGCACCCAAAATTCAAAGAAAAAAAAGATAAAATTATTAAGCACATACATGCGTCCCCTTCTCTCTTTCTAGTTTGCCATCATCACCGTAACTCAGTTTTCCAATGGCTGTGACTCACCCATCGCCGCCGCAAAAGCCGACCAGCGTTAAAGCACTAGCTGAATCGCCTGGTTTTTCTTCTCTCCCTTCCGTTTACACTTTCCCAAAACACCCCAATGGTGAAGTATTTTCAGACACAAAAGAATCAATCCCCACCATCGATTTCTCTCTTCTCACCTCCAGTAACATCGATGAACGGTCTAAAACCATCCAAGAGCTTGGAAAAGCCTGTAAAGACTGGGGCTTCTTCATGGTATAGATTTACATACACGCTCATATATAGTTCTTTCTCAATCAGTTTTAGCTTTTTGATGTAATCTGGTCTTTTTTTGAATTGAGCATCTCAGGTGATCAATCATGGGGTTCCGGAGAGCATGATGAAGGCAATCATTGATGCTTGCGGCGAATTTTTCGAGCTGACGGAGGGAGAGAAGGGAGAATATGAAGGGAAGTATGTGTTGGATCCGATAAGATTTGGAACCAGTTTCAACGCATCGGTGGATAAAATTTTATGCTGGAGAGATTATCTCAAGATTTTTCAGCATCCCGAGTTCCACTCACCCCGCAGGCCGCCTGCCTTCAGGTTTAGTCCCATGCCGTCAAAATATAAATAAGATTACTAGAGTGATCATTTTTACTTTTTCACTAATTTCGTTTGCTATCTTACAGTGATGCATCAATTTTATCATTAATATTTTAATAATAAATAATTAAAGTATAAAATTAAATATAATTTTATAAAAAATATTTAGGTGATACAACGACAAAATAGGCTACGTTATTTTACTCACCATAAGCATTGAATACATTTATATTTGCGATACGAATATATTTAACTTCTGTTGCATAAATTTGTTTGAATGGTTATGGTTTCAGAGAAATTGCTAGGGAATACAGCAAAAGAGTCCGGCAAGTAGCCAAAGAAATACTAAGAGGAATATCAGAAAGTTTGGGATTAGAAGATAACTACATTGATGAAACCTTAGACCTGCAAAACGGCCTGCAAGTCTTGGTTGCAAACTTCTATCCGCCGTGTCCGCAGCCGGAGCTCGCGATGGGGTTGCCGGCTCATTCAGACCATGGCCTCTTGACCCTCCTAATCCAAAACCAAATCGGTGGCCTTCAAGTGCAGCACAACGGAAAATGGGTCAACATCGACCCCATCCCCAATTCTTTTCTTGCCAACATTGGTGACCACATTGAGGTAAACAACAATTTCGCCACGCGTCTTATCCCCGCTTTGTTTTTTTGTTTGCTTGTTTTGATCAGAGATTTAAATGCCGGTTCACTGTTAAAATAAAAGCGATATATAGCGGGTAAAAACGTCGTCTGAAACCATTATTACACAAATATATCTGCAATGACCACAATAATTTCTTGTTACCATAATCGCTGGTTCTGATTAATCAGATATGGTTTTAATGTTATGCTAGATTTTGAGCAATGGGAAGTACAACAGTGTTCTCCATCGGGCCGTGGTTAATAACAGAGATGTAAGGATATCCATAGCAATGCCGCACGGACCGGCACTTGATGCAGTTGTTGGGCCAGCGTCGAAGTTGGTGGAAGATGAGCGGAACCCACCGGAATACCGAGCGATGAAATACAAGGAATATTTAGAGCTCCAACAAGGCAGCATGCTCAACGGAAAATCTTGCTTGGATATTGTACGAAACAAAGTAATTTAGGGACCTTTTGATGGCACTGGAGCTCGGTGCGTTGATATTTTTCTAAGCGAAAATGCCCCAATTTAAACGCACCATCATCGAGGGAGTTTAGAAATGCGTTGGACCACCAATAATGGATACAATTTCTATTCTTTATATATTATTATTATTACTATGATGGGTAAACTACACATTCAATACCTCAATTAACGCTTTTGTTTTGTTTTGGTCACCTAATTATTTTTTTCAAAACCATACCAAATAGTGGGATAGGACCAATCTCGACTTAAAATTTGGTCGTCTGTCGTTAAAAAATTAAGGTTGATGTCGACGTGTCCCTATAAGATTGTCGGAACAATCTTTAAGCCTTTTGGGAAATAGTGGATAGGACCAATCTCGACTTAAAATTTTAAAGTTTAAAGTGTGAATTTTAATTTTGTCAAAAACAAATTGGTTTGCAATTATCATCGACCTTTGGGTTAAGCAGATAGAATACCTAAAAATGTATTTTAAAAGAATTTTAGGAAAAATCATTTTAAAATATAAAAGTGGCATGCGGTTAACCAAAAACTCATTTTTCACAAACAAACATTATATTAATTCGAGAATAAACCTCTCAACGTGAATTGGAATGACTATTTCTCTCACCAACAAAACGATGGAATTATCCTATTTTTCTCCTAAAGATTTATATTTAAGAAAAGTGATTTTATTGAGACAAGGTTTTAAGAAGAAAGGGATAATATTCACCATCTCCCATCAAAAAGAAAGAACTTTCCAACCACAGATTAAGACAACTATTTCTCTCGTCAACTGAAATGATGCAATATCACTTTCCTTTTAAGGAATTCTAAAAATAAAAATTTAATAAAACAAGGGAAAATGAGAAAGTTAACTAAATAATTTTAATTATCAATCCATTTAAAAAAATATAAAGAATATTCAATTATTTAAAAATATCGACCCAAAGACTTTAACTTGCATTAAAAGATTTTTCTTCGCTAAGTTTAAATAGGAGAACATTTCATTTTCTTTCCTCTATTTTGGTTAATTTTAAGCGTAAACAATTTTATTATGGTTTCACTTAATAGCATCAAGATATGATATCTAGTTATTTTAAGTCTATCCTTCATGCACAAAAGTAGTGTTGGGTTTTCTAAATTCAGCGTTAGAACGATGGAACGAAGTAGGCTCAATTTTGGCAAAGTTAGAGAGGAGTTCCAGAAGACTAACAAAAGTTGGGGCGGTGAGGCTCAGAATAGGCAGACAAGTTTTAAAAACAAACGCAGAAATATAGAAGAGGAAGTTAAAACAAAGCATTTCTCTAAACAGAAGCAGAATGTAAGCTTGCAAGAGCATTCAGGGGCATGTGGTTGAAGAGGATTTATGGAAAATGAAAAGATATTTTGTGGGGGTCATGGCAACTGTTTGCACAGTAAGCTGCTTAAAGTCAAGGTTACATAACTAGGGACTAGGTAAAATTGAGGTTCAAAGGATAGGTGGGAAAAAGTTTCTACTATCATTTAAAGATGATGAACTATTTACTTCACTGGAAGACCTTGATTGGTCTTGTTTGAAAGAGATTTTTCTGAAGTATTTCCATGGACAGAAACACTAACTATAAAGGGACAAGTTACTTGGCTGGAAATTTCAGGGATGCCCCTTCATTGTTAGAATACTTGCTCCTTCAAAAGAGTGACTGAGTTGTGGGGTGTGTTTGAATCATTATAGGAAAACACTTTCCATTCAGATAACTACGAGAAGTCAAACATCCCGATTTCAACCAAGTTGTCTGAAAGGATTGATGAAACAATAGGAGTTGAAGTGGATAAATTTCTGTTCAAATTTAGGGTTATTGAATTGGGCCTTAAAGAACTCTGATTTGTGGCTAAGTCCGCTGGAACAAACGATGAAGAATCAATAGATTACTCTTTGGGGATTATAGACACCATTTTTGACCGGACTTTAAAATTATTATTATTATTATTATTATTATTATTATTAATTGTTGTTACATATATTTCTGCAGGCCCAATTTACAAGACTCATTTACAGCCCAATACAATCCAACAATCTCACCCAAACCCAAATGAGTCAACTCAACAACTTAGTAGTAGACCTAATGTAGCAAATAGGGTCTCGACCCTAGGCCCACCAATCGACCCGACCCGACTCACATAACCTAAACAATTGGATGCCAAAGTGCTCTGTCGCCGCTCCACTCATTCATGTTTTCTGCCATTCACAAGGATTAAAGTAATGGGATATTATATTCAAAACACCATTAAACAAGTGTATATTTTTTTATTATGTTAGATCTGTAAAATGCTATAAAAAGCTGAATGAAATGTTGATAAGGTGGGCTCTCTTGATTTTCTTTTCAATAAAAATACAACAGTTGAAACATATTTTCAGCAATCTAAAACCAAAACCGAAAGCAAATATTTCAAGAGGAATCGAAACTTACCTTTCTGTCGGTGGGTTTGTCGGGGAATAGAGGCATCGGTCGGGGTATGTGTTGGCCACCAAACCGGTGGTCGGCATTGACAGCCTTGGATCTTTAGGAACATGCCGCCGCTTGTGGAAGGAGAAAGGAAAATGCATTTTGATTTTCTTTGGTTCGTGGGGTTACTGGAATAATAAGGTTGGGTTTGTTTATTTTAGGTTTTGGGTAAACCACATGTTAACTCCTCCTTATTTCGTAGCCTTTTGTGTTATGGTCGCTAATTTTGGTTTAATCCTATTTAAATCCCCTTTCTTTCCCACGTGTTACGTTTAGGCCATTAGATTTAGGGTCAAATTACCCCTAAGTCCCCCTAGTCTAGCTGTGTTTTCATCTTATGACCACTAGTTGTATTTGTTTTTATTTTGGACTATATATTTTACTTAGTTTTAATTTAGTCATTAAACTGCTATGTTTTTATTTAAATTTAGTTATTGTCCTTCTAGTTTCTGTTTATACTATTTTAATCCTTTAATTTTATGTTTGTGCTATTTTGGTATTTTTTCCTATTTAATCCCTTAAGTTTATGTTTTTCTCTTGCAGCTCATTCTAGAATTAATTTGACCCATGAATTTTAATTCTTTCCAATTTAATCTTTTTTTAATTTGAATTTTCTTCATTCCTTTTATTTTTTTATTATATCGATCTTAATACTAACTCTTTGTTTTTGTTGTTTTATTTTTTTACTTTATTTATGATTTTTAGGATAATTTTAATTGATCAAAAGGTAAATAATTATGATCGAATTTTTAAATTTTAATTTTTGCAATTAAGACAACAGATAAATTAAATGGTACCGAAATGGCAGTTCAAGGGTGATAATCCTTCCTTGACTGTAACCGACTCCCGAGCCTGACATATTTTGGTAAAATGCAGATCATGTAAGATGGTATCTGATCAATCAAATTTTCTACGAAAAATAAATTATCGATGGCGACTCTAATATTTTATTTAAGTCGAAACCAAATTCTGGGCCCTCCCGAAAGACGGTCGCGACAGCTTGGTGACTCCACTTGGGACCGGTAAGTGAGTCATGCTAAAATTAATTTTCGGTTGACTTTTTATACGAAAATAATAAATTTTAATTTATTTATTCGATTCCAATTATTTATCTTTAATCATTTTTCAAAAAAATAGTTGTACTGGCATTTTTCAATGATTTCAGATCTTTAACGTTTTCCATCTAAGGCTCTATACCCAAGCTCGAACCCTTTTAAGTGGGGGTGAAAGCAACGCCTTCATGAGAATTTATTCTCCGTATGGGCCTAGCAAGTAACTTTCGGGATTCATATACTTTATGTTTTCATATGAATTTATTCTCCATATGGGCATAAGGAAATGTTTCCTCTCGAGTTTAACTTAGTCCACATAAGCTTGTAATGGGCTTAGGACTAAGGGTCTGGCAAGCCTAAGGGGGCACCAGCAAGGAGAACTCGGGTACCTTTTTAGAACCTAAACCGGGAGACAACAGGGAATTAGAGCCCACCTTAAAACCTCATTTCAAACCCTAGGCTGCTTTGAGATTATTTCCTGCTTTATTTTTTTTCAGAGCATGTGAACTAGAAATTTATGTGGTTAGGACTTGTTCAAAATCAACTTGTGGGATAGAGATCATGTCTGGGTAGGAATAATAAGCATGTGGGGTAGATATCATGTGGGGTAGGACATTTTTTTATTGTTATGATTATTATCTTTATCTCACTAACTTTTTTCCTTTTATTTTTGTCTTCTTCTATTTTATTATTTTTATCGTTTGCATCATTTAAAAGAGGTGTTGATCCACTAAAACGTGTTTGTTAAACCTAAATAATTTGCATTAATGGACAAAGGGTTGTAATACAAGAGGTGAAAAACGCAGAGGTCCGGCTATGCCCAGGGAGACAATCTGCAAGACAATTCAACCAAGAAGACATGGTACCCGTAATCGAAAAATATTCTACTATGATGCATTATAAAGGACTCAAAACGAATCGGGATTTACATCGAGCACATCAAAAGTCAACATTTTGAGTTGGCAAAATTTGAAGGGCAAGATGAGAAAAAGGCTACTAACTTGGAGAATCCCTTCAAAGACAACAATAGCAGGATGACAAAACGATAACTGAAATGGAGGCCATTGTTGACGAATTCAAGAAGCAAGAGTGAGGTTTAGATAGTTCCTTTTGATGGAGGGCTCCAATGACGTATTCGTCGGGAACAGGTTCAGCAAAAGATGAAAGCCAGAGATACAGTCATTCGAGACTCTTTGGATCAAATACAAAAAAATAGCTCAACACTTGCACGGTTCAGCCAGAGAAGCCAGAGCGGTTCGACAGGGTATTCAACATGTGACAGACAAAGGCAGAGGACTAGTCAACTGTTAGAAGCTATTTGGGGTCTAGAGGATTTAGTCATAATATACCTTTGATATTTTTGTCTCTTAAAAGATAAAACACTTTTGTCCCAATAAAGAATATTTATGATAACATACATGTTTTCGGATCAATGCTTCGAACATTTCATGCATTTTTGCATTTTACATCTACATTTCATTTTTAAGCATTTTCATAAACATAAAATTAAGTCATGAAGGATTCGATGAAGTGGTCCTAATCACGTGACACCACATGGAAGCAAGATTTTAACAATTAAAGAAAAAAACTGAAATCAGTATAGTGGGACCTGATCAGCTGGTT